TACTACTACTACTGCTACGACTACTGATTACTACTACTGTGGCGACCACGAATTCGACGGTGGAATTGCCGAATGAAAGCTTTTTCTTGCTGAATGCTTCTGACGGACCATTGACCATTGGGCAGGCACCTCCAGCAATTGAAGCAGTCTTCCGCATGCTTTGCAGCACGGTGAGAAGTGCTGACTTCTGAGCCTGCCACTACCCGAACTGCAAATGCTGCTGCGGGCCTGCAGTCAGCAATGGCAGATCATTCTCATCATTAATGTAAGGGACAAGTAGTTCACAAGCAATATGGGACTCTTGCCGGCTGTCTTGGATTCAGTCGGAAGCCCGTTCCGGACACGCTCCTCGACCGCTCAATATCGCCGCTCCTCATGCCGTCGATTTGCCCTCTTCCGTCCACGCCCGAAATCGCGAAACTTTGTCCACCAAAGTGTGATGGAATTCAAAGCAGATGTCGAAAGTCACCAGGTAGGTATTGCCTGGCCGAGAGGTCCCAGTGGCGACCCGTGAGGTTCAGGGCATAGATTTGATTGCCGTGGGCTCCATAAATGGTTCCTTGCAGCGATGCTAAGCCTTGAAAGGGCATGGGCTTACTCAGGCCCACGAGTGCCCAGTGGCTTTGTGGTGTCATGCTGTCGAGGGCCTGATAGTACATATTGTCGTCTAAGCCAACGCCATACATGATGCCGTCGCTTATGGCAATCGCCGTTACGCTGCCATCTGCAGCGAGTTCCCACTTCCACGCAGGGTTTTTCCACTTGGAGTGTCTCCAAACTTTCCGGAGTGCGGTGGGAAATCTGTAGACCATGTAATCGGAATAAACTGCGAAAACTACGTCCCTGTAGGCCGTCAACCAGATGTAAGGACCTGGGCTCACCATGTACCAATTTCGTGTCAGACTGTGCGATCTCGTTTCGGAGGCTCTGTAAAGCATGTTGTTTGAGAGAAGCATGATGCGGTCCTTACAGTGCAAGGTCTGCTGTATCGCGTCCTGCCTTGGTTCAATCGCTCGGGTTGGATTTGCAAATGCCTCCAAGATGGCAGATGCTTGTACCTCGTAGCTCTGCAAAGCTCTGTTGCAAAGAGTGCGCGCGTTTTCACGCAATACGTACATCTTCGCATGATCGGCCACCTCCGCTTCCAGCTTGTCTATGAGATCTGGCAGGGCCAGACCACTTCGAAGCCGGAGGCCGTACGTCTCAAAGTTCGTGAAGCCCTCGAAAGGCGTTACCCAGTCATGGACCATCATCACCGGAATGCTGCCGGAACAAACGACATCATTGAAGGCGGAAACATCCGCAAGGAGGCTAAAGGCCGAGTGCAGCAGCAGATACTGCAAGTCGTAGCGTGCATCAGCCTCATCCACCTGCACAGTTGCCAGAAAAGCGCGACCGGAACAGTCTCCAAACTTAAATCAGGATATAGAATATAGAAGCAACGCTCTTGTTGCAACGGTTAAGCATCAGATATGCATCAAAGGCTCCACGACGACATGCTTTCCTCGGTATCCAACAGTCTCGGGAAGCCCCACTTCCCGTAATCGGCCTTTAAAGGAAAGGAAGTAGCGCTTCATGTCCACTGGCTCGAGGAATGACCGCAAGCTCTCGGGTCTTGACGCCAAAAGCGTGGGCTCTGATGGAATCGCCAAATCGCGCTGCAGTCTGAAGGAGCTTCGACTCGGACCGATCCGCAGCCACGCCATGTCCTGATCTTCTGGGATGCTGAAATCACCAGCATCAAGCAGAACCAGCAGCTTGCCGCGGAGGTCCTGGAAACTGTTGAGAAGTGGCAAAATCAATGCTTGTCCTGCATTTGTTCTGCCACGTGTGATGAAGAAGCTCGCTAACGCCGCTACCAGGAGCAATCTTACATCACGTGAGCGAAGTCGTCGGATACAGAGTTGCTTATTCGTGCAGTGTAACTTAACTTTCCCAGAACACAGAACGTGTAACCCTCGCAACTTTGGGAGGCGGATCTGGAACTTTTCAGGAGCAGCAATGTGACATCTTGGCAACTTCTCCCAATATTCGTTCGTGAAGAATTTCGACTGCACCGCTGCCAGGTTTGAGTAGTTCATGACTCCTGAATGACGCTATACTACCACTGCAGCCCCGTCCGTAACCCTGCCTACCATTCGATTGGCGCACAAGAAAAGAGACAAAAGAAACAAATCTCCCAAGCCCCACATCAACGCTGGGTAGGCGAAAGCCTGGCAGACCAAACTCGAGCCGGAGGAAGGAACCCCTGGGATATGGTCTGGGTAGCTCCATGTAGCTCCTCCTGAGACCGGAGCTTCCGGTACGCATGCAGCACCACCGCTTCAGAGCAATCCTCTTGGAACCGTGTCCTAAGCAAAACAGCAGATCAGCAAATCATCACAACTCTATCGAAGAACTGCCATGCAGCTGAAAGCGATGTGCAAGCAGAAGTAGTGCAATCTTGTGCCACTACACGCTGCCACTGTACGAGTACGAACGAGCAGTGGACGTGTGATCCTATGAGCTTTCTGCCAAGGTGCTCCAGCCACTCATGCTGCCGCCGGGTAGAGAACCCAGGGACAAGCACAACAGCGGCCTGCTCGATCAGTGCTTCCATACGAAACCCCGTCACAAGGTTTGCGAAGGGACTGCGAAGGGTTTATTTGTCCGACATTCGAAGATGCATGATGTGATGTGCATGGCATGACGTCGTCTGACCTCGTCAAGCTGCCGCACCATGCAAGTTCGCGAGATGCCCCGAATGGCTCCGAAAGCACGGTGCAAACGGGCAGCGTACCCGTACACCTTAGTGTTGGAGCCGATTGGAGCCACTCGAGGGAAGCTTTGAAACTGAGGCCAGCTGTCACTGCTTCCGAGGCACTTGGCAGAACTCGAGCTCAGGCGCTAGGCGTTCGGTCTCTGCAAAGCTCAGCACGTAGAAGGCCAGGGCCTGCCTCCCCGAGGCGCAGCTCGGAGACGACGGAGCTTTTGAGGGACGCCGTGAGAGCTGTTTCGCTACGGCTGCAGCTTGCAGCTCGAAAGTCTTTAAGTAGCTGTTGCACACCTGCGCAGTCAGCCAAACACCCTAAACGGAGCAGGAATGTCATGCAGCAAGCTGGATTGGCCTCGGCAGCTTCGCGTCTCAGCTGCGAGCGGACAGTCACACCCAGTGCACGCAACCTTGCGACTAGCTCTGGAAGCTCGTCGTCCGCGACCATCACACCATACGTCTCCTCTTGCTGGGATTTTGACATACACGCACACACAAAACACAAAAAAATACAAAAAAAACACACACACACATGAACAAAGACAAAAAAAGTTAACATCCATAGCCTTTCTTCCTGTCTCCCTCAATCACATGTTCTTTCTTTCGGGTGGCCACAGCAGCTGTCAGTCCCAGCCGCAGCTTGTCCTCTTTTGTCTCCACGGTCTGGATTTGATGCTGCCTCTGCTTCCCGAATCTCTCCCCGTGCGTGGATCTGAGCTGGTGTCGATTGTAGCAAAGCCGGGTCGTACCCCTTGGAGTCGGTCAGGTCTGCACCAACATAGCTTGAGCCCATGTTTGGTCTGCCTCCTTTAAGGCGTAGCGGGTCTCAGCCATGCAGAAAAGACGGGCGAGAACCCACATCTGCCCACTGTACTCGTATCGCTGTGGAGCTGTGATTCTCCATCAGCCCTCTGTGCAGGACCCCTCAAAATCCTAAAACCTGCTCAGTTGGGGTTCTCTGCACACAAGCCGGAGGCAAGCTCCTACTGTATTCGTAAACCTCCTCCAAGGAACGCGACACACATTCACATGTACGTTTGCATGCCGGGCCACGAAGGGAACCAGATCTTGCAAAGGAGGGACTTGCGAGCTGGACACCAGGACGGGAATAGAACCGGAGCAAATTACCTCGTTGAGGCGAAAAGTGAAGAGAGCATCACCCTCCAGGACAAGGCCGAAAACGGAAGAATAGAGTAAATCGTCAAAGTCGTAGTGGGAATCTTGGCTGTCCACAATGATGACATCGACGTCGTTGTGATGCAGCTTTGCCGCGGCAAGTCGCCGTGGGTTCCGTGACAAATAGCCTTTGAAGGTTACCAGATACCTTTTCATGTTGAGGGGTTCCAGCATTGACTTCTTGGACGTCGGACTGGAACATCTCGGGGTAGGGCCAGAGGGCAAGGCTATGTTGATGCCGGGGCGGTCAGCCCAAGTCCCCAAACCGAGCCGCATGATGATAAAGCCTGGGTGCTGAGACAACTGGCGATCTGGAAACCCATGAGGATCATCCGGGGTGCCAGAGTCGACCAAGGCAAGAATCTTTGCAGCGAAATCTGGTTCTTTACGGAGTGTTGAATAATCCTTCATGGTCTGATGGTCGTGGCAGATCTCTCCTTTTCGAAAATAAGTCCCCTCTCGTTTGCATGCATCGTGGTGGTAGTGAGGCCAGTGGCAATCAACAAACGTGTAACCAGGCACCACTATCACATCGGCTTCATCAACCACATTTGTGGCGCACACGCTCGCAGAGAGCTCTTGCTGGAGCCGCCAAGCATAAGTTGTAACACTGCACCTGCGAAAACTAGGAACCCTCTCCTCTGCTTCTTCCAGGGGCATTGCATACAACTTCCGCTCACAGCTGAATGAACTGGAGCTGCGAAGAGGAAAAAGAAAATAAAGCTGGGTCGGCAACAGGGCCACGAATTTCATGGCTGCTTTCCAACTATAAGCACCCCGGCCGGATAAGCACAAATGCGAGCAAGCTTCGATCGAAATACGTGCTTTCATGATGAGCAAGTGTACGAGGATTTGCCGTTCGGGCTTCAAACTTATTCTGGCTGGCTTCTCGAAGTAGCCTGTCGGCTCCCAACCCTTGAGCGGAGACTGACCGGAAAAACTCAGTCGCAGCTCGCGTGTGAGCTTCTTTTGCAAGTTCACTGTCAACTTCATGGCCTCTCGTCAGTTGGGCAAGGACTGGAAACGTGCTGCACGGGTCTGGGCAGACTTTAAGTTCACATTCCAGCTACACAATCCCAGCTTCTCAAGACACAGCCGACTTTCGCTTCACTTCAACAAACCAAGGTTGAGTTCCACGGACCTGGAGAAATCTAAGTGGCAGCGAAGATCTGGTTTCTTTCTTCGGCATCCTGATGTTGTGCTTAGCCGAGGGGCTCTTTCTTCTCCTTGGCGGCTGCCGTGTGTCAATGCGCGTGCATTCATGCCTGGGTAGTATAGTCATATGGTTGCATCCAAGTCTCGGAATACCAAGCATCAATCTTCTGTTGCAACTCGTCCCGCTTGGCCAAGCATCTCTCAACTTCCGGACGGAGCTCTGCGACCTCGAGGTTTCAGGATGTGCGAATTGGGGACAGCATGTGGCCTAGGGCCTTGCACATCAACCCCCTACGACAGTAGAGGTTGGTTTATTTTGACACAAGACGAAAACGATGCGACTTTAACTGACACTTACTAGTTTCGTCTCTCCTGTCGCATGGGTGGATGAACTGAGCCATCATTGATCATTGACCGACCTTGCATGTACTTGCTGGGCCTCGTTCGTTGCCCTTGCAGCATGTACAGGGCAGATGCGTGCTGTCATGCATTTTGCCTACCAAGCAGCCCCAAAAAACAAGCAGCATGCATCTCGAGGATGCGACCACCAGGACACCACCCTTAAAATCGTTTTTCTCGCAATGTACTGGCGCACCCGCCCAGCTCACCAAGTCGACCGCCAGGAACACTACTGGCGGGATTAGGGGCCCACGCGAAGCAGCCGGATTCATGGCGAGGACACGAGGCATTTCGAGCGATTCGAGCGCACCACTGGGGTGGGGAGCATGATTTTCCGTAGCGGAAATGCGCGGGACTGCATCTTCGAGAGCAGCACCCCCAGATGCTTTCAGGACCAAACGGACGAGCCCGAAAGGCCGAAGAATGTGACCCTGCCAAGACTTTGGAAATTTCGAACCTTTCGAAGCTTAGAGTATTGGACTATAGTAATAGTGTCAGTGGTTGTCGAACGGCCCTAGCAAAAACTGCTTGTAAAGGAGCGCGTCAGGGCACGGTATAAGCTCAAACGCACCAGCCGGTGGAACCATGGCGATTCACTGGATCTGAACCTTTTTTGCAGAAAATATATGTATACCTGCAGCAAACTACACAGTACAAGCGGCTAACCTATCATCATCGAAAACCAGTTTCAATCTCTGGCTTGCTTCTCGTCAACGACCACGACAGCAAAAACACCAACATCTGAATCAGTCTATCCGTCTATACTATTTACCTATCTACCTACCCATCTTTACGACAAACGTAGGTGACGATCCCCCTCCCTCCCTCTCCCTGGTTGCGATAGGGCGCGATGGAGCTGAGACAGGACCAAAAGTAGCCCGCACTGAACCCGGTGTCCGGGCAAATCTTCTCCTGGTCATGGGCGAGACCCGGGACCGACTCATGAGGCGTTCCTGTGCTCAGGAATTTGTGTGAAAAGATGTGAAAAGACTGTTCTGCCGTGTTCTAGCCGACCGTCGGATCGGAGCATGTGACAAACGGACACAATTGCTTCCACAATGCAATCTCATTGCTGTGTCCTGCGAGCAGTACTCGGATTTCCGTACCGTTTCCATTCCCACGGCACCAGCACAACAAATAGTAACCGGGGCAATACTGCTGCTGACTGGGAGCAGCAATGACAAGGATGGTGGATGTGGTGGATGTGGACGGGGAGTGTAGGGGTGGAAGAGGCGGTGGCGGTGGCAGTGGTGCGGCCGATGTTTCTGTTGCGTTGCTGTCTTGATGTTGTCGGAGTCGTAATCGTAGTCGCCGTCGTTGTGGTCGTTGTTGCTGTTGCTATTGCTGTTGCGATTGCAGTTGCTGCTCCTGTTGTTTTTGTTTGTTGGTGGTGGTGTTATTGATATTGTTCTGCTGTTGTTGGTTGCTGGTTGCTGGTTCCATGCAGTTGGATACTGGGTGTTGGCTTTTGGCTTTTGTTGTTGAAGATGTTGTTGTTGTCGTCGTTCCTGTTGCTGTTGTTGTGGTGGTTCTGGTAGTGACTGGTAGTGGTAGTGGTAGTAGTCGTAGTAGCCGTCGTAGTAGCCGTCGT